TTTTTTTTTTTCTGAGTCCCACCGTATGAGACGTCAAAGTTCCCCCCTGGATAACAAAGCGGGATTCCTCTGAGCTGGAGCTGAAGCCAGCGGATTTCATGCCCTCGGATCTCTGCGCGGGGCAGTGAAGGATGCCAGGATGCCCTGCTTGATGATCTCCCGTCTGCTCGTCCTCTGGCTGAGCGTCCACAGGCTGGTGTGGTGCTCGGAGCGCGCCTCGGCACGGGAGCGCTTCAAGGTGGTCATCGCGCCCCTCATCTGCAAGCGGATCTGCCTGAAGGGCCAGTGCCAGGATAGGTGCGAGCAGGGCAACAACACCACGCTGATCGCAGAGAACGGCCAGGGCGCCGACACGCTCATCGGACAGGGCTTCAGGGTTGGTGAGTGAGTGGAACAATGCCGTATTATTTCCTCTGGAGGGAGGGGAGATATGAATAGGCCTCCGGGCTGACCTCCGAGTTTTAAAGGTTGCGGTGGCTTCCAGGCAGACCTTATAAAAATACCATGGACAGTGAAAATGCTAATTACAGCCATGGAACTCCATAAAATAGCCTAATTGGGCAGAATGATTTACCCTGGCACTCCGAGCTTAATGGGATTATGGCAAGGCTGCACCCAGAACTGTAGCCTAACAAAACATAGATGTAGTTTATACAGACCTATAACTTCTAAACCAGGTAATCAGTTAGACACACTTGGTTTAAGCTTTATGCATTTTTATTTCTGTAGCAGTGAGTGGGAAAAGTGGAGCGTTTTCAAAATTGTATATGTGCTTTTCTTTTAGGTCTTGTCAGTCGACAGCCACAAACCACAAGGCATTTTATCTTCACACGACAGTCCACCAGAACGTAGTCCAGAACTGTAAAGTAGAAGGAAAAAGCTGCGTTTTTAAGAGGCGTTTCTTCTTCATCTTGTATTCAGATCAATTTAAATAATATTCAGTTCAACCGATTCCCTTTAGAGGTAATCGAAATAGTACATAAAACCTACCTGTGTCTAAATGCAGTAAACTGTGAAGGAATTGGAGGGAAAAAAGGGGGAACACCGCGGACAGATCAGAGACGAAGTTGTGGAGGTGTTTAAAGCTGGCTCATATCACAGCTTTTGAGATCTCACCGGGTTGCTGTTCAATTCATTATATAAAAACTGAGAGTGTGGCTTGATACAAACCTACTAGGACATGTCCGTCCATGTAAACTGACCGGCTGAGTGAGAAGAGCAATAATCACAGAAATAGACCAGAGATCTACAGCTCAGGTGGGAAAATCTGTTGGCTGAAGAACTATCAACTAATCCACAAATCTGGCTTTTATGGCGAAGTAGCAAGAAGAAAACCATTGTTGGAGAAAAAAAAATCATTAAAAAATTCAATTTGAAGTTTTTTTGCATACAGATGAAGCCAAAATCAAACTTCACTCTGAACACTGCATGTCCACTATGAGACACAGTGGTGGCAGCGTCATGCTGTGGGAGACTTTTCTTCTGCTGGATCAGGGGAGCTTGTTAACGAGACACATCCATGAAGCTAAATGCAGGACTGCCCTGGAAGAAAACCGTCAAGAAACGCGGAAAACCTTCGAGGTTGACAGCAAACCAAAACATACAGCCAGAGCGAAAAACAAAAATATTTATGTGTTGGATTGGTCCAGTCAAAGTACAGACCAACATTCAATTAAAAAACTGTCCCAAGACATGAAAAAAAAAACATGTTCAGATATTCTCCATCCATTCTAACTGAGGCTGAGATATTTTGCTTTGATGAAAACTTCAGCCTCTACTATCAAACGCTACATATGAGCCAAAAAACTTGCAGGTTTTTGGCCTGAAATATGGTTATAAAATGCATAGCCTCAGGTGTGCTGAATGCAAATTAACCACACAGTTTTCAGACTTTATTTTTATTTTTTACTCACCAATTAGTGTCGATACAGCAAACATTACCAACTGACAGGTTTAGATCTACAAAACAATTAGCTGATTAATGGAACAAATGACAGCAATTAAAATAAAATAACCAAACAAACAAGAAGGTATACATCCAAATGGATACATGCAAAACACAGAACATAATCAGTTGGTGTCACAACAAAAACAATGAAATTGTTTAACATATATATTAGGATTTACTTCTTTTTTTTTTTAAATCTTGGCAGCAATTTTCTAATTTCAGACCTCTATAATTTTCCTTCCATCTCCCAATTTTATAATTGTTCATGACAAAAAGTCTTGATAAACAAAAAATGAATATGGTCAGGGTCGCAACTAACATCCACATTGTCCTAAATGTGTCTTCACAACAAATCAGTCAGTTTTATTTATAGATGACTTTTCATGCACTCAGATGTGACACAAGGAGGATTAAATGCAGGAAACAATTAACAGCTGTAACAGAAAATGATAAAATAAGCCAATTAACTAATTGTAAGTTAGCAAAGGTACCAAATACCATCAAAGGCAAAATACAATACTCCCTTTACCATTTCAATATTATTTCAAACTATACCTTTGAGTGTACAAAAATGCAAAACAAGTTTAATAATGTTACTGTTTATCAAATTAAGTGACGCAAAAATGTTTCGATACGACTCCTTTGAAAAATAGGCGTTTAATCTCAATGGGTTTTTATCCAAATAAAGGTTAAATGAAATAAAATAAAAATAGATTAAATGATTATCAATGTGTGACCACTGCAGGGGTTTGTTAGCACAATGCCAAGAGGGAAAGACGACAGCAATGACACTGAATAATTAATTGTTGCTGCCTGTCAACATGAGAGAGGTTAGGAGGTCCTTGCCAAACTATTTAAATTCTCCAGAGGAGAAACATTCTTCAGAAGTGGAAAACATTTAGAAGAGTTGCCAGTCTTCAGAGAAATTGACATCCCAGCAAATTTTATTTCAAAGTCAGACCGTGTAAAAAAAAAAAAAAAAAAATTGCAAATAGCTCAACTTTATTGCACATGAGTCATGAGAGTAAAATTAGAACAAGGCTGGCCAAGAATGTCTCGCATGCATTTGCATTTGAGGCTAATGGATTTCTGTATTCGCTCAGGTTACGTTTGTCTGCTGTGGAAATGAGTTTGACGATCTGAAACATTTAAACATGACAAAAAAAAAAAAGAAGCATTGACGGAAATAAGCATTGGGGTGTTTCACAGGATCCTCCTTAAAAACAAACATTCATTATTGTGATTAAACTAATTCCTTCAATCAACTCAAGTTACTTAACTCAATCTCTTTGACTTAGCAAGAGGCTAAGACCAGGTGTGGTGGGCTTTACCCTGAACTTAAACGCTGTAAGATATTCCCATGTTGCACTTTAATTAGTGAGGCTCATTACATGGAACATAATGTGCTCTTCAGATCTATATTTTCTCCTTCCCCCTGACTCTGGTTGACATAGGTGGAGCCCCTTTATTTTATTTTTTGGTGTATCAGATCAGAGGTGGTGGTGCCTTGGAGTCTACATCGATCTCACACCCAAAGAACCGCATTCAGCCTCCCAGTCTCTTGTTCAAAGTAAAACTTCAATCGAGGAAAGAATCCCTGCGTACAGTCAGAAAATAAAATAATAAAATAAGATATTTCCCCAAATAAGCTGCATTGCTAGCTCTTGTTCAACAGATAAAAGCGTGCCTCTCTTTCAGCAGCATGATTTAATGGCTGCTCGTGTCAACTCCGCCTGTGCTTTTTCAATCCATGCAGGTTTGTGTTGGAATTTTTAGGGAGAAGAGAAACGGGTGCTGGCAGCAGCAGCATAAATATGATATACTTTATGACTGCGGTGCTATTGAAGTCCGCTGACTCCTGCTCACAGCGCCATGACGCCGTTCTTCCTCTCCGATGCCGTTCAGAGTCAGAAAGTTGGCTTGGGGTTCGGTTTTCCCTCTTCTGCCCCAGTTTCCATGTGATGCATCACGTTCTGGAGCTTCTGTGTCCAATAAATAAAAAGAAGCATATCGGATTCCTGGAATACCTCACAGTGCCTCTGGACCACGGTCCCATCACACAGTCTCCTTCGTTTTCCCAGTCAAAGTATCTGAAAAGTTCCTCCGCTGGGTTTGGTGAAGAGATGGATGGAGGGCTTGACTTTGGCGCTGGAATGTGGTGGAAATTTCTCCCTCCTGTGTCAAAACGGCCATTGCTACAGCAAGAACAATGCAGACTTTTCCATATTCGTGCATTTCAGATCTGCGTTTTCTGCATTCGATCTGAGATGCATGTTTGCCTGTCTGTGCTCCTTTATGCACCAGGAGTTTCACTTTTTTTTAAAACATAGAAGATGCCAGCATAAGAATGCGGTTGAAAACAACAGGACAGCATACTCAGGTTGTGGTTTGAACAGCTGCAGGACATATCGGTGTTGGCAGAGGTTACAGCTTCCAGTCAGGAATGCACTGAATTTTTAAAAAATAACTGAGAGGGGCTTGAAAAAGATCAGATTTACAGCTTCAACCTGTGAATGTTAGAGATTTTTTTTAAGGTTAAATACCGTATGTGACTTAGTGACTGATCTGTTATCATCCAAAGTCCATGTCTTTCTCTGTACAATTAAAAAAAAAAACATTGTCTCCAGAGTGAGATGTTGCAAGAAACACTCTGTGTTCGTCTGTGAAAAGAATCACGAGTTGCTGTAAATCAACAAACTTTGACAGGATCATACAAGGTAATAAAATGAGCAATTTTTCACACAAATTAGGATTTATTCCTAAACTAAACACGATTTGATTCCAAGACTTTATTGAGCAGAAAGCAAACAAATACATGAAAAAATAATTAAAATGCAAGAAAAAGAAAAAGAGCTTAGGTTTTCCACAAAGTAGAGGGGAGTAGTGGGATCGACTGTGAAGAGTGCATGCCTTCTCCAAATAAGTAATATTTGAAGCCTCGCTCAGCATCGGTCACATGGATACAAAAACATCTGGAAAAAAGAGAAACGGCATCTGGTTGCATTCCAGTGACATTTACATTAGTGCTATTATAAGCTGTGTAGTTAATAAAAAAATCACTTAACTTTCAGTTTAAAAGCCAAACAATCAACAAACAGTAATATAATAGTAACATAAGCAGCTGTGGGTTTTGATATGAGCCTTTCATTTATTTCTCGTTTTCATGCATCGTTTCCTGTTATTGCATTATTTTATTGTGGAGCGTTTAGGGATTTTTGTGTCTAGAAAGGTGCCATTTAAAACAGTTTTACGTACCTACCTCCTTTATGCATGTTGCTGGGCAGGCGATGCCCTGTGTTTTGAGAAGGGGAACTCCTACTTTTACTTATGTTCAATGAGACAATTCAAGGAAATATTATCTTTCTTTTCTGAGGTTTGGCAATCGGAGGGGACTGTGGAATTAATTTTTCTTCTATTTAGTAGTTATGGTAT